TTTGGTTGGAGTTTGGAAAAGTTTGGCATCCCCCACCACTAGAGTGGATCAAAATAAATGTTGAAGCGGCTATTAAGGAATCCAATAATGCAAGAGTTGGAGGAATTGTCAGAGATCAGAAAGGAAGATTTATCTTGGCATTTTTTTTGAAGAATGCAAATAAGCATAAATTAAAGCAATGAAAAAAGGAAGAAGCCTAGATACAAGCTAATGAGGAGAAACTACCATAACACATTCTTTCTTCAAAATTTGAACGAATGAATTAGGTGGATCCTTCTCAGAAAAGTATTCCCAAAAAAACTCATAAGAAAAGGCTAAGTTAGCACAAAAGTGAGCTAACTTATTATAATTTCACCTAACATGATAAAAGACGACATTATTAAAACCCCTCCCAATAAGGAAATCATCTTCATCATTAACACAATTATCATCCATCTTCTTCTCTTTGCTATAAATTGAAGAAAATGGATGATATTATAATTATCACTTTCAACTATAATACCAATGGCATCAAGTAATTTACCTTTGAGGACCTTCTTTAATGAATTAATAGCCAATAACTCAACTTGAGCAATATCCCAGTGAACTCCATAGAAACCGAAAGCCAAGATAAATCATTCTTTGAAGTCTCGAATAATGCCTCCAATTCCAGCTTCATAGTTCTTCTTGAGGGCAGCATCAATGTTAATCTTATACCAACCAGGTGGAGGGGGATGCCAAGAATTAGAAAGAAGTCCCAAGGACTGATGGACATCCCAGTGGTCCGATCGAATAAGGTTCCACTTCTTACTATTTACAAAACTCAAAATAGAAGAAGCTGTCAATGTATCACAAGTATCCAATTTTCCATGCTTGATCTTATTCCTGTTGTTCCAAGAAAACCATAACAAAGAGCAATAGATCCTAGCCATCACCGGATTTGTACCAGCCAGAATTTCCAATTTGCTCCAACAATCCTGGAAAGAGTTATATTTAGGAATCATAAATCCCCAATATCTTAATACATCAATAACTTTCAATAGTTTAAGACAAGAAGTGGTGATGTGATCAATATCTTCAGCAACTCCACACCCTCTAGGACAGTAATTCCTATTGGCAAGCCTTCTTCTCATGAGGAAGTCCGCAGTTGGTAAAGCAGATTTACCAATCCTCCACATAAATAATTCAACATGGGAGTTCAACTGTAATTTATAAATCCAATTTACTGGAACAGAATCTGAAATAAGCTCCTGATTCATCAATTCTTCCTTAATCAGTGCAGAAATTGATTTTCCAGAATATCTACATTTCAGCTCCAAGAAATCACCATTTTACCTATTAGAAATTTTAATGTTGCTGATTAAAGCAAGTAGTTCACTTCCAAAGAATAATGACAATCTATCTAGATCCCAACTTCTATCCTAAATAAAGAAGTCTAGATATGTGTTCTCATCTTCAAAATTGGCAACAAAGGTAGGCCACTTGATCAAGCTCTTATCTAATAGCCAGACATCCTTTAGAACATTGATTTTGCTACCTGATGCAATTCTCCATCTAACAGCCATTTTAAGAGCATCACATCCAGATTTTATTATTTACCAAGAAGGAGAGCCACCCTTCTTATTATCATCATTCCACCATTCTTCTCCATATTTGCATAATAGATTCCTATTCAACAATGAATTAGGATGCTCTAATAACTTACAAGCAAACCTGGCTCTTAAAGTTTCCAAGCTAGAAAGTGCAGACTTTATCCCCCAACCTCCCAAAGCTTTTGGCTTACAAAGTTCATTCCATGCGACAAAATGTAGTCCATGACTTCCATCTGCTTTATTCTATATATAATTTCTGCATAATCTCTCAAATTCATTTAAAACTCCTAAAGGAATGAGAGAGTGTGCAATAATAAAAACAGGGAGGTTAACATAAACCAAATTCACCAACACCATCCTTCCCACCAAAGAGATGAATTTATTACTCCATGAGTTCAACTTCTTCATAGACTTGTCCAAGAGAGATTGGAAATCAACCTTTTTCAATCTTCTTATTGCAATTTTAACTCCCAAGTAATCCATTTCATCAACCTGCTTGAAACCAATAAAATGTGTAATTTCCTTCTTCTTCCTTCTATTAACTCTTTATCGACAAATCATAGCAGATTTATGGTAGTTGATTCTTTGTCCAGTCCAATTACATTAGTCGTCAATAATAGCCTTCAGTCTTCTTAAACTTCTCCTCTTGGCATCAAGAAATAAAAGTACATCATCTGCATAGAGCAAATGGGATATCCTTTGTCCTTTGGATGCAATTTTGATGCCCAAATCCTTTCCCATGCTAAGAAAAACATTAGAAAGTAGTTGTGAACAAATTATAAATAGAAAAGGTGAGAGTGGGTATCCTTGACGGAAACCACTCTTTCCCTTTATCCATTTAGTGCATCCACCATTGATGAGAATAGAGTAGCATGGTTCCAAGATACATTCCATCACCATCTTCATGAACATTTTCGAAAAACCCAAAAGAATTAACAAGTTGTTGAGAATAGTTCAGCACATACTATCGTATGCTTGTTCCATATCTAACTTAATAGCAACCAAACCATTGTTATCTTTAGACAACCTCATTTTGTTGAAGACCTCTTGTGCTAAAAGCAAATGATCTGAAATCGATCTACCTTTTACAAAGCCACTTGTTCATCTGAAATGATTTTTGGGATTACTACCATCAATCTATTTAATAAGATCTTTGTCACAATCTTATAAATAGAATTACACAAACTTATAGGTCGAAATCTAGCTGGAGAAACCGGGTTGTTGCTCTTGGGAATAAGAACTACAATAGTATTCTTCCAATCTTTATTCATTCTTCCTATCAAGAAAAATCTTCTCACAGCCGTACAAACATCCATACCTATAATGCTCTAGTAATGCTTAAAAAAGGAGTAAGTGATCCCATCAAATCTCAATGCCTTATTATTTCACAAATTTCTTACCACCTCACAGATTTTAGAATTCAGTAAATCAGCATCCAAACCAACTCTATCATCATCAGTTAAAACCTTCCAAGGAGGCGGCCAAGCTGCCAACACACTGTCTCTATTATCCCATCTCTTCTGAAAAAAAATTATAAAATAGATCTTCAATCTCTTTTGGGTCTTCGGTAAGAGTACCAATATTTTTTTTTATTTGAGGAATCCAGTTACCATTCTTTCTAGCATTAGAAAATGCATGAAAGAACTTCGTATTAGCATCCCCCTCTTCAATCCACTTCACTTTAGCCCTTTGTTTCCACCAAGTTTTTAAATAACCAAGAGTTGCATTCAGCTCCTTGACCTTACATCTGAGTAGCCACAATTTTTCTTCACTCAAAGTCCCAACATTAGCTTCTTCTTCTTGAAGGATACGAATTTTAGCATTTAGCCTTCCTTTGTCTTTGGAAAGTTCCTTGAGCTTAGTTCTACTCCAATAGAGTAAATCCCTTAAGGATTTCTTGCACTTTTTGTTTAGGATTTGCATTTCATCTCCACTAAAATCTTTCTTCCACACGTTAGCAATAATATGAGCTGAAGCTTTGTAAGAAATCCAAACATCTTCAAATTTAAGAAGTCCCCTCTTCTTTACAAAAGTGTCAAAGATCTTTAACACAATTGGACTGTGATCAGAAGCAATCCTTGGTAAATGTCTTACCACCGCCACTTGTAAACAATTCAATGCCAAAGTATTCAACAAGAACCTATCCAATCTCTCCAAAATTCATCCCCCACCATTCTTGTTGTTACACCAAGTGAACCTTTGTCCAACAAAGCCTACATCATGAAAATCATTCTCATTCATGAAGCTTAACATCTCCTTCTGCCCTTTTGAAAAAAAAAACTTCCTACCACCTCATTTTTCATCCTGGGATAAAATGCAATTGAAATCACCTCCTACTACCGAAAGAAGTTTTCTATGAGCAACTTCCTGAATACAATCCCACGGCATCCTCCTCTTATACACCTCCTTGCTTCCACACACCGTAGTTATCAACCAAACAGCCTTGTTGAAAACATTTAGTTCTCCAATAACACATTTATCATAAGTTTTAATAACTAAAAAAGAAGCCAAATCGATTCTCCAAAGGATCATAATCCCTCCAGATAAGCAAACTGATGGAACAAGAAAAAAGTCCCAATTTGGTCCCATAATTTCCCCAAATAAGACTTTATCAAAGTCATTAATTTTTGTCTCCACCAACCCAACAAACATAACATTGTAATCTTTAATGAAGTCTTTAAGATATAGAGAGGCCTCACATTTCTTCACCCCTCTACAATTTCAAAAAGCTATGGAATTCATTTAAAGAATTTTTGGAGAGGGACCACCCTCCTTCCTCCTTCCATCACCACCATCCAACACTCTTCCACGAGTTACATTTTTGATAGGTCCTAAGGACCTAAGTTCTTTGGAAAAATTAACTTTATTTGATTCACCATTAACAACATTTATTTTAGACAGTTTGGAATCAGTTATGTCACCAAAAAATTCCTCCTTCTCAGTCACAACTTCATCCAGAATAATACCAACCGAAGAGTTAATAAACAAACTCTTATCATACACCAAGTTCCTCTCCAGCACTTCATCTTCCGTCATAATTTCATTTTCCATACAAAGAACTTCAAATTTGTTACCATTTGTAACTAGAATAGAACATTCAGAGTTGAGTTTATTACCCATAATAACTTCAGGCTTCTGTGCTTCTACAACAACCAATTCATTGGTCTTCACATTCATAGTCGGCTGGATACCATCTACATGATTCTGCTCCTGTAAGAATTCTCCTTCTTCTAGTTGAGTTTCATCTGCATCCATAAAATACTTATTACCATTTTCCTGAACTGACTTGTTTAAGTCTTTCTGGACAGTAGACTTCTTAGCATCCTTGTTATTCTGGATCAGAACAGTTTTCTTCACATACTTTCCATTTGGCTTTGGAAGAGTATTTCTTTGAGCTGTCCTTCTATTTCTCTTGTGATTTAATAGAACTCATGGTCCATAAGAAGCTGCATCAACTTCCTCAATCTTCTTTCCCACATCAGAAGCCAAACCATCATTACTGTTAGACAGCTTCACATTTTCCTGGATAGAATTTGTTTTGATAGAATCACCTTTAACATGTCCAATCATACCACATTGAAAATAAAAGGAAGAAATTTTTTCATATTCAACCTTTTGAAAAAACCTTCCCGAAATACTTTCCACCCAAACACCTAATGGAAGGCTTTGGTCAATCTCAATCCTCATACACACCCTTGCAAACTCCCTCCTTCCCCATTGAAACATATTTCCATCCATCATTAGTTGATTGCCAATCATAGAAGTAATTCTTGTTGTATTCTTCTCATCCCAACAATGAAGAGGTAGATGGGGCATCCTAACCCAAATAGGTGAAGTCAAAACTTTCATCGTCAAAGGTAAAAAATTCGGCATCCATCTCTCCATGCCAATTATATGACCATTTACAAACCATGGTCCCCCAGATAGTACAGCTTCCATGGAGTCAAAAGAACTAAAGGCACATAAAAACCATCCTTTTCCAAGGAAAGCAAAATGAAATTTTCCAAACATGTTCCATTGTCTCCTAACTTCCCATGCCACCAAGTGAGCTGGAATTTCCTTACCAAACACTTTAATCACCAATGAGTTTAAGAGTTTATTTGAGTTTTCCACTTCCATTTCCTCACACAGCTTCACTGCTTCCCATCTTCAGTTAAGACATGGTCTTCATCTTTAAAGTTTATCTTAATGTAAGGTTTATTAATCCACAGGTTATCCTTCACTTCCTTCCCAGACTTCAAAGGAAATTCAATAGAAACCTTGTCCGCACCAACCTTGGCAGATGAATCATCACTAACAAGATGAGAATTTCTGTTAACTACAATCGGAGAATTTGCATTTATCACACTGTGTCCAGGGATTGCATTTGAATTCCCAAATCTATTAATAAAAATTTTCATACCCGATGATGAAGCAGATGGATCTACCTTGTTCACATCCGAAATTACCTTACCTACTTCAGGAGTCTTAGAAAATTGTTCTTCTATAGCAATTGATTTACCTTTTCCTTCCACATAAACGACCTTCCTTGGAGCCTCCTCAACAACATCTTTGATCAATAAAGGTCCTTGAGATTTCCTTCACAGGATTTCCAAATCTATATGGTTAGAATCAAGATTTTTACGATCAGTCAACTTCACACCAAATGCATTATTGCGGACAAAGGATGGAGATCTTGCAAGAAATATATGGGTCTGATGACCCTCTACCGCCATCCCTCCACTAGTAACTGATGAAGACCTTGTCGGAGATGCTTGGGTAGTCCGGCGGCCTTCCGACACCATTCCTCCACCAATTCTTGATTATCTTGGCATATGGTAAACATTTATATCATTCGGATATATTCTAAGTGGAATTAGAGGCCATGAAGTTTATATTAGAATACCTCCATGATTGGATGATTCAATGCAAGGGTGTTGTGATTGAAGATGATATCAAAAACATCATCAACAGGCTTCAAGATTCAATGAGGACATTAAAATGGCAGCAAGATAATTTTAAAATAAAGAGTTATTCTTTCTTAATGATTTTAATAATGTACTTTTTCATCATGTATCTAGAGAGGCAAATAAAGCGGTAGATTTATGTGCCAAATTTTCTTTAGTTAGTTCTTTTGTTTGGCACCCTTTTATTTCTAAATCCATTCCTTCTTCTTTATTTATGTTATTAAAGAAGGAATGTGATAGTTGTGTTTCTTTTAATAGGATGTACTAAGTTTTATCAATGCAAAGTTGCAATCTTCAAAAAAAAATAATAAAGGATCTAACTAAGAGAAATGTGTAAGTTTCGCATACCAAGCTCTATGAGATTGCTTAAGTCCATATAATGTCTTTTTCAATTTATAAATATGATTAGGAAAGGTTAAATTTTCTAATCCAAATTATTGTTCTATATAGACATCTTCCTTAATTATCATATTTGATAGGCACTTTTAACATCCATCTGATGTAGTTTCAAGCTTCTAAAATATGCAAACACGAGTAGAACTCTAATGGCGTCTAACCTAGTTACAGGGGAAAAAGTCTTCTCAAAATCACCCTTCATTTTGACTGCACCCTTTAGCTATTGAGCTAGCCTTATTCCTAATCACTACTATAGTGTCATTAAACTTATTCTTAAATACCTACTTAGTTCCTACAACACTCTTATCCTTAGATCTATTAATCAACTCACATACATCATTCTTGAAAAATTTGTTAAACTCTTCTTGCATAGAAAGGATACAAATATCATTAAATAGGGCTTGATCTACACTAACGGGTTCTACCATAAAGATGAATACAAAATGACAAACCTTCTTTTAAGTCCATGCCTAGTTCTAACTCCTACAAATGGATATCCTAAGATGAGTTTTCTAGGATGACTAGATAAATATCTCCATTCTTTAGGCAATTTCTCCTGAGGTTCTTCTTTATTTCTTAGGTTAATGGATTCAATTTCTTAGGTAACCTCTACATCTTCTTCTTCTTCTTCTTCTTCTTCTTCTTCTTCTTATTCTAACCTAGGCTCCTTTGATCTATCAAATTCATCAAATACCATATGCATTAACTCTTTTATAACTAAGGTCCTCTTATTAAAGATCATATAGGCTTTACCTACAAAGGAATAAACTAAGAGGACTCATTTATTAGACTTGGAATCAAATTTACAATAGTAATGTTATCTCTTAGTGTTACCTTGCCTCCTACCTTGGCCTCCAGTGTGATGAATTACCTTAAGTCTCCTTTTATGGGTCTTAGGCATCCTCTATCCAAGTACCATATGCTTTATATAGGTCTTTTGTGAGATCACCCCTATAATATCATCATATATTAGGTTAGGGAACCCATGTGAGTTTGGGTTCCACCTTATGCTTTAGTGGATGAGATACATGCATGTTATGCTATTATGCATTTAGTTTAAGCCTCCATATAAGATGTGTCATACGGTATATAGTGCAAGTGTGGGCTATGTGTCTTAGCATGCCACAAGAATAACACCTACCAAGGAATGGATTCACTGATCAATATGAGGGGTAGTGCCTACTTCTAAGGATATGAAATGATGCATACTATGATTTGGGGTTATACCATTGTGGTAGTATTTGGGTGGTATATTGATTTGAAGTACATAAACTTTTTTATTTATAAACTCATTTGCACTCTTGAATCTTACAACTTTAAGTTTCAATGCATGCTCACTAGAGTCTAATTCAATTGCACAAATTTTTTATTATTTGTATGATTCTTCTAAATCAGTATTCTCAAACGTCAAGGATTCATGTACTTTGCTTAATTTAACATGCTTCTTCTTAAGTTCATCAAATTCATCTAATAAATATGTATGCTCCCTATTTAATAGAATATGTTCATCTTTAATACTATCATGTTATTTTTCAAATTTAAAAAAATTTAAGTTCAAACCACTATGTATTATATTTTCTTTAATTTCTATATGATTAGTGGATTTTTTTTAAATAATAAAGAGCTAATTATAGGATAGTTGACATACATCATCTTGATTATAATGGTCAATACTATCATTTACCATAAGACATAGGTTTGTTACCTCATCCATTTTGTGTTATTATGAATTGGGGTAGAGTTTACCAAAAAAGCCTTTTTGTGTCTTTGGCTTCCCCTATTCGAAGTTAGCTTTCTCTTCACTCTTCTCCTTAGTTGAGTGAGTTTTCATATTGGGGTAGTCAGACATTAAGTGTCTTAGCTTCCTGTATTCAAAGCATACAATGTTATTTGAAACTTTTGAATTTCTACTTGGTTTACCTTTGTTCCATTATTAATGACATTTTTTCTTTCACCCTAGAAAGCTTTTAAATTGTCAGGTCATCAGTGCCATGTCATCATCTACTTCAGCTACAGAGTTATCACTCTTAGAATTATTGGCTTTTAATGCTATTGCTCTGTCATTCATCCTATCACATGTATTAAGCGATATTTTATTCATGCTTTGATCATAAGTAATGAGTGAGGCAAGAAAATTATCAATAGAACAAACATTGAAATCTTTAGATTTGCATATAGAAGTAACTTTAGCATCATAACTACTAGGTAGACAACACAAAATTTTGATGACCTTCTTAGAGTTTGATAGTTCTCTACCTAGTACATGCATAAATGTCATTATCTTTGTAAACCCAATGTATATATCTAAAATGACCACATTAGGTTTCATGCAAAAGTGTTTGTAACCATTTAACAAAATATTTCATAGAGACTATTTAACTTCACTAATACCCTCATAAGTTATGCATAACCTATCCCATATTTATTTACTAGTAGTTTAGGTAGAGACCCTCATGTAATCTTTAGATTTGAGTGCACAGAAAAAAATAGTTTAAATATCTTGCATTAAATTATGCTAGATCTCTATCCTTATTACTCCATTCACTATATAATGTTTCAATTATCATGCTACTCAAGATTCTAAATGAATCAGAATAACCTGCTTGAATCATATGCCACATATAATAATCAATATATTGTAAAAAATTAGACATTCTGCTGTATTATCTTAATAATCAATTATTCCTGATTTAATTTCCTAATCACAGGTTTAAATTAGGAAATATTTGATATGATCCTACATTATAATTAGTATCATATTGTATGTTTAGGTCATATTTTGAATTTTAAAATATTGTTTAATTTGTGATTGGCAAAAATAATCTTGATTTCTATTAATCATCCTACATGATGTGGATTGTATAGTATGATTAATTTAAATTCAATTTTTTTTATATATATATATATATATATATATATATTCATTAATTTTTTATCCTTCTCCTTTAATGGGGCAAAGTAAAGTCATATAAGGTCAGCACGCATAGGAGTTTCACTCCATTGTTAGAAAAATAGTTTGTATCGAGGAAAGACACATTATGCTTACCTCAATTTTCAAAAATGTGCAATTTTTAGCTAATATTTTGATTAAAATGTTGTATCCATTAGCGAAAAATAGGGATAAATTTGCACAGGTAAAACTTTCACCTCGTAACTTTTTATATGTTATAAGGATTATGATTATGCACATTTTAAATATTTTCTAAAAAAATTTCAATGAAGGTTATGAAATTTGCGGGATTTTTATTGAATAAAAAATTATATGGATGTTAAAAAGTAGTGCTTTAGTACAATAAAAGTCTTAAAACATCATTTTACACAATTCGTAGTCATTGATTAATTTTTAAAAAATGAGCATTTTTGTCTAGTTGGATTTTCTATTATATACTGTTATACAATACTGTAAAATTTTGATACACGATCAATTACTCTTTAAAAGTTATAATGTGATGATATATGTGCATATGTGATTAAATTATTTTTGTTGTGAGCCATAATAGGCCAAAATCTTATGAGATTCTATCTATGTCAAGGAATTACTGGGAGATATAAGGGGACATAATCATTTGAGATTTTGTCTGAGGCAAAGATATGTCTGGTGCTATAAGCACAAACAAAAAAAGAGTCATAAGGGGTTAGAATCTTTTGAGATTTTGTCTAGGTCCGGAAAATGTGATATGAACTACTATGTGATATAAAATTTAATTTATTTATTTATTCAGTATTATTATTTAAATCAGGGAATTACTGTTATGTATTTATTACATCTCTCAATATAATGATTTATTTAAATTGCATTGAACTAGCTTTAAATATTTAATAAAATATTTGATAAAAGAAAATATTGAAATCTTAGATTGGTTTGTAAGGCTTGCTAAGCTGGTATAGCTCTTTGTGACTTTGATTCTATTTTTTAAGAACTGGGAAGGGGAAGGAGATTGTACACTAGCAGTTCAAGATCATGTCTAAAGTCATAGGTATTTTGCTTTTTTAATTTTTGTACAGCTATGGTTAGTTAAACATTCAATTATGTAGCTCTTGCACGTAGTCATATACTGTAGTGTTGATATTTATTTTGATAAAATGAAAGAAACTTTGTGAATGAATTTTATTTCAGTATATGAATGTTTTAGTAGCTCTGTAGTCTGTAGTTTATTTCAATGAATATTGGTATAAATCTGAAATAATTTCAAAACTAGATTTTGGGATTTACCTATCACAGCTCAAGACGATAGAACCTATCCTGGTCGGTTGGTTTGTGACACTAACTCACTCAAGTATTGTGGAATCTTCTCACCTAGGGAAAGCCACATGGTTTTTTCTTTTTTGGGTTTTCCACATAAAAAAAAAAAATTATGTTCATTTACTCTTTCAACTATCTATTTGTGTGTTAGATATCCGTGCATCACTAAGATGAAAAGCTCTCACTCTACCACCATGAATTTATAAGTATGAAACAATACTAGTGCATGAATGCTTGCAAGCTACTTTTTGCATAGAAGGTGTCTTTTTTGTTGTTCAATCAAAATTATCTTTGATCTTGATTCATACGTTTTGTCATATTTGTTTCTCATTATATGTGCCATTTAAAATAAATGACATATATAGGATCTTTGATTGCATATCAAACATGAAAGGAGTAGTAGCAGTGGTGCTAAATTAATTATTTTAAATTTTTCCTCAACTTTTTTCATCCGGGATTGAGATCGACATAGGCGATTTAAAAAATAAATTCAATTAGTATTTGATACAAGATTTTCTATATTTAATTTTTTTTTGGGTGAATCTACATCGACACGAATGGGTTTTTATTTTCCTCTTCATCTTATTGTTATTCTCATCAAAATAATCAAGTAGGATCTTCGTAAAAAAACATGGCATTAGTGATCGTTCTTTTTGAAGAAACATGGCCACAATCGCCTTTGCCAAAAAAGAAATGAAAGGTGCATGAAGTGTAAAATATTGCAGATGCTTTTCGACAATGATCACTCATATATTCACGAAGATTAATGCAGCCAGAAAACTTCTAGCTGAAGTAATAGTTATTTGCATGACTATTAAAAATTTTAGATACAATTTATATTCCTTAGTTGCTAGGAAGCTTTTTGAAACTGGAGCGGTAATCTAACTTTTTATACTTATTATTATTGATAAAGAGAGAGGTGGTAGCTAGAAGTGAAGACCATGACAAACTTTTGACATTTTTATTATTGTGTATGGAATCCGATATAGAAGATTCTAAGAGGTAAAGATAAGATAAGAGATTGAGAGAAGACATTGAGAATGAGCGATGAACAAAAACCTTAAAAGGATGGAATCATCTGATAGAGAGAATAAGGGAGTTAGGGCTCATGGAAGCTTTGTCTTTTACTTTTAGTCTCTCAACCTAAATTTAATTTCTCAACCTAAACCCTTTAAATTGGCAACAAGAAATGTCACATTGGCAACCATTACATCTATTGGCTACCCTTTGAGTGTTTTTTTTTTTTAATGATATTTACTTTGATTTTTAAAATATTCTCACATAATTAGCTGAATTTGATAACATATTATATTTCACAGCAAATTTTTGTCAAAACCATTAAAATTTGACAACCAAATAATATATAAAAATATAATATTAAGTTATTTCTCTCACTTTTCACCAAAATCATGAGTAAACTTATCATCACCTATATAATTATTTTTTTTTAAATCATTTAAACTCAATTAAAAATTAATTAAATTCAAATTCAAAATTTTTTTAATAAATAAACTTAAAACACAGTTTAAAACTGTTAATAAAAAATTATGTACAAATTGAACAAAATAATACTACTCATTAATCATTTAAAGCAAGACCTATCACGTCGAATTCAATTTTATCATCCCTAATTTTTCACCCAAAAAAAAAAAATTTCTCATCCCGTTCGACCGATTCACATCCGGTCCAAATTTAATGAAGTCAAAATAGAAAAAAAAAAAAATTAAAGATAAACCCTTTCCGGCTTTCCTCTTCGGTTCTACAGCCACGCGGAGGTTGTTTTTACTAACAGCAAACTTCGATAAAGTACGTGCCTCTTCCAGCGCCTTCTCCAAAGCTTGCCGTATTACATCCTTGCCACGTGTCTTTTACTCCACTCTATTCCGCCACGTCATCATCCCTTCTCTCCCATTCTCGGAGCCCGCATATAACAGCTCTAAACTGAGCTTCATCGGAAAAATTCACAAACAATTCACCTTCAGAATTCAAATTCAATAATGGCGTCAAGAATCGCTGTAATTTCTCTCTCGCTCTCTTACTAATTGTAGTTGAGATTTTTATAATTTTTTGAAATCGGAATCGATCAACACTAATTGCTGTCGCCATGATTACAGGACTACTGGCTGAGATCTGCGCGGGCAAAGACAAAGGCTCTGCCGCGAGGGGAGTTCATGCCGGTGTATGTGGCACTGGGAATGATCTTAGTATCGACATCGCTGGGCGCTTATACGGTTCAAGAGCAGCTCTGCAACTCGCCCTCGGTGCGGGTCAATAAGAAGAGGAGGGAGATAGTGGCAGAAGTAGAAGAGCCTGAACGCGTGGCCGAAGAAGCCAAACGCTATGTCAAACACTCAATTTTTCGCAAGGTCGCTAACATGCAGGACTTCGATGCCGTTCGTGCGGGGATCTCTGATCCCACTCGAGATTTTAAGTATTCTTCTTCTCATCACATCTGTTGACGAAGAATATTTTTAACTAAGGCCTTTTTTCCTTTCTTTTTCTATTTAATCTTTTTATAAAAAAATTAAATATTTTTGTAAAAATGGCCTTTTAGGGTTAAATTTGTAAAATATTTTTTTTATAAAAGAATTTCATCTAAATGTTTGAAATAAATATAATATATGAAAAAAATGTTGCCCTGAATTTCGTCTAAATTCATTGAAATAAAAAGTTTCGAACAAATTAAATTCTTATTTTTGGTTATCTTAAAAGAAATGCGAAATCTATAAAACTCGTTATGATTAAATTTTAATTACTATAATCTTTTTTTAATTTTTATTAGTGTTTTTTATTTATATAACTAATTATTGTTTTTTTTTTTTTTAGATCTCCTCGCGTAGAGAGTTTGAAGTCGGTTGGTGTGGAACCGAAGCCGAATGTTCCCTGAAGTGCGCACTGACGAGGAAGTAGTTTGGTGGCGTGGCTGTAAATATTGATGAAATTTGCCCCTTTTTTATTTTCCTAAGTTTGTTGTTCTGAACGCAAGCAGTGCGCTCTGCACTGCAAGATGTTTGTTTATTAAAGGTTATATTATCATAGCCCATCTTATTCTGTTGATAAAGACTTTTTCAAATAAATTTTAATTATAAATTTAAAATTTTTGTGTTGAAAAAATTATTTAAAAAAAAAATTAAAAAATTGCCCCAAAGAGTTTAGACTCTCAATTAAAATATCAAGAACTTTGTCAATTTGTAATTTATTTTTCAAACTATTAAGAAAAAAGAAAGTTGTGTGCTCTTACAAATCTGTTCACAAATTGTCTTTCTATTCATATTTGATTGAAATTTTTGAATAAGATTTATTTAGAAATCAAGTTAGATCTTATCAAACAATAAAAATCAAGAATTTCAATACCATTTAATATATGCTTCATTTATGACCGTTTTCTTAAGCTATTTTAAAAATACTAGTAAAAAACGGGGTTCCAAACGAAGTAGCTTTTAAAGTTGTTATTAATAATTAAAACTTTTTTTTTTCTACATGAAAGAAGTTGGTATCATATAAAATTGTAATTGTTTTTTCTAAAAATAAAATTAGAAAAAGTTGGTTCTTAAAAGTGATTAATTTTTAGTAAGAAATTAAATGGCATCAAATTGAGATTTAAACAATGTAAAATAGTTTCGGCTCTTTGTATTCAAGCAGTGCAAATATAAATTACATAAACTTTGGTTATCAAAAATCTTTATTGTAACAAGCTTTTTGTTCGGAGAGAATGAAAAATGATAATTTGAGTTCACAAGAGAATCCATAAAATATGAGATTAGGACATGGACCTCCATCACAATAAACAAGGCTTAGGCTTCGTTTGGAACGGCTTTCTTGTTGGTTTGGAACGAAGCTTTAGGCTTCGTTTGGGATGGCTTTCTAATTGCTTCTTAAAATAAATTTTTAGTATAAAAGTAAAAAAAAATTAACTAGAAAGTTGCTGTTAGAAGCAACTAGAAAGCGGTCCCAAGCGGAGCCTTAGTCTCTCCCTCAATAAGAAATGCTTAGCTTATTTTCATTTGCAGCTAATACTCCCTAAACATGTATAAAGGTATAAAAACGATATAAAACTCATTTAGCTATATATATATATATATATATATATATATATAAGACAAAATATATATATATTAATAAAACAACAAGAGGTTACAGCCGCATAAACAAAAATAAACGAAGAAAAGAACAGACCAAACAACAGAGGGGAGTGCAACTAAAAGCGAGCTCAGTAAATAGTCAAGGCTTCCAGCGTCCAAGACGTCACGCATGGACCCTCCAGTAAAATGTAGAAAATGTTCCACCGAACGAACACGAAAATCCACACCTACGGTTTCCACCAGCAAAAACGACCGGGACGCGAGCCCCGACCACATCATTGATCTTAGCCACACGAAACAGCAAATCGAACAGAATAGCCGAAAATTCCCGAGAAGAACCAGCAGGCTCGACGAGACGAATCCAACGAGCTCAAGATCACCGAATTCCGACATCATTAAGGCCTTCTATTATCTGACAAACACTGCATGATCAAGGGATTCAATATCTGCCGTCCATCCAAGCACTCCCCATTTACCTTGATCTCTCACCTATTTACAGGCCACGCCACTCCAAAAAATCTATAAATAGACCTCTCAATTCTCTTGAGAGGACCGGAGCAAGAAGAGAAGAGGAGAAGGAAGAAGCTCCTCCTCGATCACTGCCGGAGCACCGCCAGACTTCCACTGGATCACCGCATGAGGCCCTCACCTCTACTAGACCACCGCCTGACGCCGTTACTCCGTCGGACCACCACTTGAGGCCCTCACCTCTACCGAACCACCGCATGACGTCGTTGTTTCGGCGGACCACCACCTAAGGCCTTCGCCTTTGCCTAACCATCGTCTGACGTCGTTGCTCTGCCGGACCACCACTTGAGGCCCTCGCCCCCGCCGGACCACCGCCTAACGCCGTTGCTCCGTCGGACCACAAGTTGAGGCCTTTTGCTCCACTAGGCCACCACTTGTGGCTCGGACTTCTGCTGGACTACTACCTGAGGCCCGGACTTCTCTTAGACCACCACTCGAGGCCCGGACTTCTACTAGGCCACCACTTAACGCCTAAAGTTCTGTCAGAGTACCGCCCTACTACAATGGTCTTTCTGACCCCGGTCTCCTTCCGAATACGGTCCTTATGACCTCCGTTGCTTACTATGGTCCTTTCGACCTCTATCAACAAACAACGATTTTTCTGACCCCGGTCTCCTGCCGACTATGGTCTTTCTGACCTCTATCATCTACAATGGTGCTTCACACCTCCATCGACAGACAACGGTCTTTCTGACACTGGTCTCCTGCCGACTATGGTCCTTCCGACCTTCATTGCCAGAAAATAATCTTTCTGACCCCAGTCTCCTATCAACTACGGTCTTTCAGACCCATGTCTTCTATCGACTACGATCCTTACGACCTGCATCACCTACTATGGTCCTTTCGACCTCCATCACCAGACAACGGTCTTTCCGGCCTCCTATTTATCGACTATGGTCAAGTCGACAAAACAAACATGTCTATGTAACTCCCACCATGTAATGTGCTCTATATGATGTACATTTGTAACATCAATTCAATGCCTTCTCCCAAGAAAAGGCCTCATTTGTAATCGACTGTAAATACTAGTGGATTTATTCAAAATGGGACAGGCCTCATGCATGGTTTTTCCCCTTTTTAAGGGGTTTCCACGTAAAAACTCTTGTGTCTCTTATAAACACCACACACTCTCTGTTATCTGATTGTGTGCTGGATCTTCGTACAATGCTAAGACAATAAACTATATATTTCTCTACCTCTGTGAATATTCCAGGATGCAACAGTTTGGCGCCATCCGTGAGAACATGGTTCCCAACTAGGGGGAAATTTTTGCTCCAACCTCAAAAGGTTGTTCATGTCAACTTCCTGACTTCAGCTATTGTTGCATCAATTTCATGGGGTTCAGATCAGGACTGAGGGGCAACCTTGACTCCAACTATGATTAAGAAGATCCCTCCAATGCTTTCAATATCAAGATGATATTTTAGAAAAATTCTAGAAAATGCAATAATACTTTCAATCAATTATAAGCTTTATACAGTCCTGTAATACAGTCTGCTATAGGACTTATACTCCTTGGGCAAGGTCTATATCTCGACCTCAAAAAGGGAGTAACGGTCTAAAGATAGACCCTTATTTACCTTTGATTTGGGATACATGCGGCGTTTGCCCCCTCCCAATCAAGGAAAAATCAATCCCAGGGGGATTCGATTCGACCTCTTCCACACAGGTTAATGTCATCGAGCAAAGGCTCTGACATACAACCTTGGATAGGTCATACATCCTTGGTGGATTCGCTCAACCTCTTCCATACAGGTTAACATCAACGAACAAAGGCTCTGACATACAACCATGGATAGGTCCTACATCATTGGTAGATTCTCTCGACCTCTTCCACGCAAGTTAATGTCATCGAGCAAAGGCTCTGACATACAACCTTGGATCGGTCTTACTTCCTTAGTGGATTCTATCGACCTCTTCCACACAGATTAACGTTATCGAACAAAGGCTCTGTCATACAACCTTAGAATGATCTTACATCCTTGGTGAATTCTCTCGACCTCTTCCACACAGGTTAATGTTATCGAGCAGAGCTCTGACATACAACCTCGGATAAGACTTACATTCCTGGTGGATTCTCTCAACCTATTCCATACAGGTTAACATTATCGAGCAAAGAATCTGACATACAACCTTGGATAGGCCTTATATCTTTGATGGATTCTCTCGACCTCTTCCACATAGGTTAACATCACTGAGCAAAGGCTCTGACATACAACCTCAAAAAGATCTTACATCCTTGGTGAATTCTCTCGACCAATTCCACACAGGTTAACGTCAACGAATAGAGCTCTGACATACAACCTCGGATAGGTTTTATATCTCAGGTGGATTCTCTCGACCTCTTCCACACAGGTTAACGTCATCGAGCAAAGGTTCTGACATACAACCTCGGATAGGTCCTACATCCCTGGTGGATTCACTTGACCTCTTCCACACAGGTTAACGTCATTGAGCAGACATCTGACATACACCCTCATATAGGTCTTACATCCTTGGTGGATTCTCTCGACCTATTCCACACATGTTAACATCATCGAGTAAAGGCTCTGACATACAACCTCAGATAGGTCTTACATCCTTGGTGGATTCTTTAGACCTCTTCCACACATATTAATGTCATCGAGCATGGCTCTGACATACAACCTCAGATATGTCTTATATCTTTGATGAATTCGCTAAACATCTTCCACATAAGTTAACGTCATCGAGCAGGGCTTTGACATACAACCTCGGATAGGTCTTACATCCCTGATGGATTCTCTCAACCTCTTCCACACAGGTTAACATCATCGAGCAAAGGCTTTGACATACAACCTCAGATAGGTTCTACATCCCTGGTGGATTCTCTTGACCTCTTCCACACAGGTTAAAGTCATCGAGCAGAGCTCTGACATACAACCTCATATATGTCTTATATTCTTGGTGGATTCTCTCGACCTCTCCACATAGGTTAACATCATCGAGCAAAGGCACTGACATACAATCTCGGATAGGTCTTACATCCTTGGTGGATTCTTTAGACCTCTTGCACACAGGTTAATGTTATCAAGCATGGCTCTGACATACAACCTTGGATAGGTCTTATATCTTTGATGAATTTTCTGAACATCTTTTACACAAGTTAACATCATCGAGCAAGGCTCTGACATACAGCCTTGAATAAGTCTTACATCTTTGGTGGATCATTTTAACCTCTTTCAAACTGGTTAACATCATTGAGTAAAGGCTCTGACATACAAGCTCGGATAGGTCTTACATCTTTGGTTAACATCGCCAAAATGCCGTCAATGAACTTCCATCGGACTTCTCTACAAAGTTAAATTTCTACCCGATACAGAGCTTCCTCCCATCGTTGAACTTCT